TAGCATAAAACGTAAATTTGCCCTGGGTTACTTGTTTGACTTGTGCAGTGAAATACGGATTGGATTCAAGTTTTTCATAATTGGGACAAAGAACGGACTGTTATGAATAAGGTATTGATTAACCTTAGGAGTTCTTAAGTGGCAGAGAACTTCTTGGCCAGATAAATCAATATTACCTTCTCAAAAACGGTAAATGACCTACAACACAATTATCATCATTAAATGGCCTTCGATGAGATGGAGGTTAAATTTTATCTGTGCAAGACTGTTTCCATATCGGATCTCTTTTTCCTTTGTGTGTGGTTTTGTGTAATTAAATGATAAACGAAGCAAAATTACCTAAAATGTATAAATCACTGTTCGCTCTATGACAAATGTACTAAAAGGCATCTTCTTTCTTACGTTACGTACGACATATTTTTACCCACTTACTTATGACCGTAACTTGCTTCCTGGTACTATATTTTTTGTAACAGAAAAATTAAACACTTTAAGACAAATTTGTACAAACACTTCTGAACACTTCGTTGTCCAGTATGCTCTCACCTTGGCTGTATCGCAGAAATGAGTCTGCGTGTTCTTCTGAACCCTTTATGACACAGATAAGATTACTCTTATAACTGGAGTAAAGTACAAAACTTGATAAGCGATGTTTATTTAAGTAGCTTAATCCATGTGTACTAAGTAGGCTTTAATAATAATTATCTGGCGTAATACAATACAGTAAATGAAACTAACGCTATCACTAAAAGGGCGAAATATGATAAAAATAGAGTGAGAACAGTTTTGAATGAAGTGTGTTTAAACAAGTCGAGCAGTTCTGAATCATTTATTCAACAACGCTTTCTCATCTATGTATAATTACGCCCCAATTGCTTTCATTACAGTTCTAGGGCTTCGAATGATCGAATGATAAATTGGGAAGGATGTGGAAAAAAGAAATCGTGTTCTATTTAAAGATTCTGATTGCCTGGAGCAACTGAGGGAAACCACGGAAACACTCAGTTGAGTTATGCAGGCTCAGAGTTGAGATCTGATTCTGGAACCTCCTGAATACGAAGTGGTAATGCTATACACTCAATGTTCTGGCGTGGGTTGCGGAATCCAATTGTTCCGTTATCAGATAATACTCAAGGACAACAAATACTTTATTTGAACAACAACAAATAAAAAGGCTTTTTAGAATACTGTTCGTCCTCTGTCCAGGTCAGTCAATTTGCATATCTGTGAGGTGTATGAATCTGTCAGTACGTTTCCTAATACTCTAGTGATAGAAAAACAAAAGTGATCCATCATCATGAAGAGTACTTCATGGAGTAAATTATGGAAACCATTTTGACGTGATCCACTCCAGCTTTTGAAATGTACAGATGCAAATTAATTACTTTAGGTCACTTTCGCCTGTGGCTTGAGACAGGAAGTAAATCCCGGCCTCTGTATTCAGTAAAATGGTAACATTGAAATAGACAGAAGTGACATGTTCGTTTTATTATACGCAGAACTTTGTCATCATCTACACACCACGGTAAAATTACTGAATGTAAAAGTATTGTGGATATTGTGTTTCAAAAAATGTTCAGATACTTTGTGCGTGTTTCCATACTATTGCTTGTAGTGCGTTGCTTCGGAGAATCAAAAAGTATTAACAGGACTGGATTATTTCAAAGATGGACAGGTTAGTGGTCTGTGTGCATCAGAACATAGTGAATAGGATGGAGTACACACCATATTTTTTTTTTAATTTTTCGTTTACTTTTAGCAACTAAATAGTTTGTGTTGAACTTTACCACATGGGATCACTAGATAAGATAATTAAAATTGTTTTCCTTTACGTTACATAGACCTGGCTTGACAAGAGGCCTAAGGAGATTTATGATAACTTGAATAAGAACTAGTTCATAATTTTGGTTGCAAATGTTCATTGTGCATAAACATAACGTCACAACAACAGTACAACACGAAGGTTTTAAGATTAGTAACATTAAATGAACTTTTGTAAAATACATATTGTTTGTATCGTACGAGGTGAGAGAGATAGGTTCACGCACCTTGAAACACACTGTAGTTTGAAAAGTCCACGAATTATAAATGGTTGGGAACAAATACACATTCCAAACTGGATTTCACCTTCTCACTTTATTTGGAGTCTGTTTCAGAGAATAATGAAAAATAGAGGGATTTATACTTTGATTATCTGAATTAAAATAAATGAACGTTTATGACATAAGTTAAATAATACTTGAAAGTAGAGTAAAAATTAAGTTCGAAGTACATGCATTGCTTTCAGATAGCGAATCTTTATCTCGTGGAGAAATCGATGTCGACAATATTTTTAATGAGGTGAGTTTCATTTGTTACGTAGGAAATGTATCATGAAACGTATTGACTGTAAGGCCTTTTAAAAGACCTTTCAAGGTCCAACGGGATAACAAGTGTTCCAGGATAACAGGAAAGGTATTAGCGGGCAGATAGAGTGTATATCATTATGACACTGACAATAATTACGCTCTTGGCTATTTCTTTGTTTGTGGTAGCCATACAACACACAGGCTTTCATTAATAAAGTAACTGTCAAAGACATTTGCTTGCATTCGTGGTGAACACTGAGACAAATGTTTGTGACTTTGTAATATTATCACGCCAATTGGGGTCAAGATATTTGTGCATTAGAATATAAGCTGTAGAATTTCAAATGTTAAAGAATGCAAGTTATTAAGAATACAACTTTCTATTTGATTTCTTGTAATAATACGAAATATAACAACATCTTATTTCACCTGTATAAATTTCTTTGTTCTACGTAAATGGCTAGTGATTAATGTAAGACGGACCTTAAATTTTAGATTCTGTCAAACAACGCCCAGAAAAAAGAAGCAATGATAAAGCCTTTTCCTCTTGAGGAACTTTATTTTCACGATAAGGACAAAGAATTTTCCATGTAAGTACACGTCAAATTAATGAAGTCATGCTGTATATCTATTTAACTGATCCCTTTGTAACAAACAAAAGAGTTTTGACGCAGCTGAAACTGGAATCAGCAATTGTACACAATTCTAAGAAAAATAAAAACAATTTTTATCCTCAAAATCAATGTTATCTTTTATAATACATTTTAATATTACTCTTTTTCTTCCGTCTTTTCCTTACAGGTAATCACTTTTTACACGATGATTCTCTAAGTTCAATATTAATTGTGTCGCCCGTCGGAATTAGTTTAGTTAAATTGTAACAAAAACTGCTAATACTGCAAATGATATTAAATTTCAACGTGGATCTACTTAATTAGAAGACATTTACTCTTGCGTGGAAGGTGTAACACTGAGTATAAGCATTGGAAACTTGTTTCCCCGCAGGCCACGTGTAGCTATTGATGTCAGAATGCGGTACAAGCAGTCTTGCGGAATAGATTCCTGATTTTTGTTGTTGTTTCTCCAGTAAAGCTAGAATATTTTGAATTTAGTTAATCTTTATCTCTGACTTAATTCCAGACCCAAGTTAGGTAGTAGGTCTCCCGTGCTGGTCCCTTTGTATTCACAAACATTTACTCGATCCAGTTCTATAAAGCCTTCTGTAGACGAATGCTTTCCGAATCGTATGATTTATATGTACGTGAAGCGGCTCACGCCTCTAAAAATGTAGGATATTTAAGAATGAAGTGAATAAAATTACGCAGTTAAGAGTTTCACAGTTGGTACTCATCATCTGACATTTTTATTGTGATAAATCAAGAAGAATAAACTGGCGCACATATGTAAGTCGATAACTACATGCATGACACTTAGGTTAAACTTCATGGCAGAATATAAAGTTTAAATCTAAGCATACACAATGATGAGTACAATATTAAAATGTAGTTTACAAAAATGTGGGTATAGTTCTTGGCTACAAACATCTAAAATCTTGTTTGTAACCAGAAGGGTCGGAGATGATGATATGTAAAGAAGCTAACGTGTGTTCACTGAATAAATATCTTATGTTCCGTGTGTTTACTTGGTACAACTCCCCAAAATACCATTGTTCTAATTGCAGGCATCTTTATAAAATGGAAGGCTCTTCCAACTTTGTGTTTAAAATCAACAAGTTGCGAACAGTTCTTGCAGAACGTCGAGTACAATTGGACCTATCGATACCAAATCTTTATGTGGAAGGTTCCTACAAATGTGACAGAATGTCATATGGAGATTATGACTCAAAAGCATCAGGATATTTCAGGTTAGGAACACACGGGATCATAGGTATAATATTAAAATAAATTGGGTGTGAGTGTGTGGACTGGATTTACGTGGCTCGGATTAGGATTCAGTGGCAGATTCTTGTGAATATGTACCTTGGGATCCATAAAATACTAAGAATTTCGTGTGTAATTGAGCGAATGCTAGCTTCTCAAGAAGGTACAAAAACAGAACCACCTTGAATTTCAGTAAATGTGTATGTTTGTGTGAATGTTTAAGTGCGTGTATAAATATATGTGAGATATATCTTCTAATACTTCTTTTATCACGCTTTTAGTCTCACTAACTCAAAGGAGTTGCTTTTAATTTTTAGGTTGAATTTAAACAACGTGACTGCTGCTGGGCTTGCAATTCTGAAGGTAGAAAACAATTCTTCATTAAAAGTAGACAAAATGCGGTTGACGTACTCAAGTGCTTACAAAAGAATACAGGTACGTTCTGTTTTAGCCGTAAACATTACTCAAAGTACGCAAAATCTTTCACTCACTGATTAGCGACTTTCTCAGTGCTATTAACATGTACTGTATAAATGATATCACAAAATATGCTTTTAATATTTTTATCGTTATCCGAATTACTTATAAAATTAAACACTAGAGGCAATCGGAATGGTTATAGGGAATGAATGGTGTCACAGTACTGTAGGAATATTTTTGCCAGTCACTTTACAACTCGTTTATCCTACCGTATGTATTTTAGATGGCTAGTACAACGACGTTTCCCTGTATCCCACCGCGCACTTATTTTTTTATTTTCCCTTACAAAGCAAGCAGTTAACTTCTGGCTCTACAATATAAACAGTAATATTGTTCACACAAAATAATAAATGTATAGAATAAATGGAATAATCTAAATCAAAAGGTAGCAAAGTTTTGTAAAATAGGTTAATATTAATGATACAAATCAGACAAACTTAATTCTACCTCTTCCTTTTATCTTTCAGAACTTATTCCCGTTTTGTATTTCGTGACATTGATTGTGGGTTGCACAAAAGAACAACAGCTTCTGTGTCAGATCTGGTTATACATCATGTTGACCTTGAAAGCGAATACTAGCAGCGATTCGTAACCGGGTTTTCACAGCCTCACAAAATCAATTATTTCCCTTGGGTTTCACCCACATATTTACTATTATTTATAATTTTAGCATGAATGGTTCACCCTATCCCAGGAAATCACATTCAATATAGGCGGTTCACTCAAAAATCCACTACAACAAATGATAAGGCATGCGGAAATAATTTGCTATAAATGCATATCATGATTCTGAATTTCATGGACTTTTTCTATGTGAGGACTATTCACTAGTACGTTTCCAGCACTGACTCTGCATACTTTTGTAGTTCTGTGAACTACAGGTCTGTGAATTGATGGATCGTTGGTTATTTAATCATGCTGTATTAACGTCAGACGCGCTGAAGAAAGTCTTCGGTGAGGATAATCCGTGTCCCGGTCTAAATCCGATCTGGACACCTTCCAAATACAAGTTAGAGACGTTTCCACCTAACCTAATTTGTATTAACAGTAAATATTCACCAAAACAAATGAGGGACCTAAACTGCAAACAACGAATTTGAAAATTATTTGTACTTCGAACTGGAGCACACATTTCCACTCCTGGTGAAATTTCAGGTTATCACAGCGGCGAGTGTGAAGATAACTGTGTTCTGGGATGTAAATTTAATAACAAATGTAGTAGAAATTTACGGACGTTTCAGAGGTGATTACTCCCTCCATAATAGTGATGATAATCGTCATCCCTGCTGTGATGATGGAGGCATTTAGCACCTCTGAAACATTCAATCAATTTCTACGGGGCAACATCGTAGAAGACATTCAGCTTCACTTCTAACTTATCTTTTTTGTGTTGCAAAATGTTATTCTAAATGTTTATAAAGTTTTGAATATCTCACTTCACACTGAAATCCATAACATTATTTTATTCAAATATTAATAATCGTTAATTGAAGGGATTATCCCTCAATATTGTATTGTTACGTTGCAGGTCAGACAGCAGGAAATGAGCCCCAGAGTCTCTCCTTTCATAACCAGTGTAGCATTTGGTGAGAACATTTTTTGTAATAACATGGATTTCTACAAAAAATAAATATATATATATATATATATATATATATCGGAAGTAAATAGAACTAATGGCAATGGTGGTTTTAATTAAAATCTTGTGTCAGCCATTTGCGGAATTCTATATCAGAAGAGGCTATTATTATTTAAGGTACCAAATACTTTCACAAGGCTTCAATTAATTTAGGTATAATTATAACTAAAACGAACATCGTATTGCATACATGTTCTTTTATAAATCTATTATAAATATGATCATATCCAGTGACCGCAAAACGTAGAGGAGTTTCTTCTTGCAAATTTTAAATAATAAATTATACCAACTAAATATCCTCCCCCCCAAATAAGTATGTAACTAAGTTGTAAACAAGATGAAGTACCAACAGCGAGAAGTACAGATTAATACTGAAATACACAGTAATATTTTAAACATTTCTGTAGGTCATGACGATAAGATAATATTGTAGACAAAATTATTAATTATGTTACATTTTCTGTTCTCCCTCTCTCCTTTCGCCTAATTTATTTTAAAATAATTCAGAATGCTGATATGATGCGTAACTTATATTCAAATAAAGTCTACTTTTGTTTAATTAGACACTTCGCATTCACTATAAAATTCATACAAAATTTCACGAAACAGTAATTCTTCGGTTCGATTATATCAATCTAAGAGCTTGACAACAGAAACAAGGAAATGAGAGGAAAAAACCGAAAAGATAATGATAATAAATGTGATGATGATAGCATCGTAATAATAATAATAATGGCTCCCTTATTTAAATCAGGGGCCGGAAAGACTAGTACACATGCTTCATTAACAGGGTTCAAACGAAAGAGCCCAGTTTCCTCGAAAATTCAGAAATAATGACTTCCATGCAATTCTGAGGAGACTAATGAATCCCTTTTATTTGACTATACAGGAAAGATGGCGGTCGGGAAGATATGGCAAGGTTTAACCTTCCACTTGAATACAGAAATTGAGGAAAAAGTTAACCTGGCTCTTGGAAAGCGACTCCTGGCTCAGATTATAGGAAATAATGAAACGCTGGCCAAATATGAGTACGTTTTAATGATATTAAACGTCCTATGTGTAAAAATTGAGTGAACTGGAAGGAATAATTAACTTGATTAAATAACTCACTGGCTGAATGAACAGTATGTTGACTGAATGGTCATAGCCGTGAGTAATTTAGATATGTAAGCCTCAATGTTAATGTTAATAAGTCTCCTAAAATGGACATGTCTACATTCTAATAAAGAGTGTAGCTAAACCACTACTCTATGTAGTGTATTCACTGTGCAGTTAATAACTGCATGTGGCATGAATTTAATTGTTGTAATGTTCTGTCTTTGTCTCTAGGGATTACGTCATCACAACAACGGCGAGTGCAAATAAATTTGTCGATACCATAATAGATTATGCCAAGAATGTGATACTTCAAAAATACAGGGACAGAATTAAAATACCAGACATTCGAGAAGGCTTCGAGAAAAAGGTAGTTTTATCATTCGATTAAGGAATAAGGGTGTAATAAATTCCAGAAGCGACAGAAGAGTTGAGTGCGGACATTACACAAAATATGCAAGTTTTTAATTGTGGTCTTACAAATTAATAAGCTATATACCATAGCAGATGGGTATTACCGTAAAGTCTCCAGCTTCAGGGTACAATACAATTCCCAAATGGCGTCATAACAGAGACCACAGCCCATATGGGTAACATACCCTACCCATACTATTCTCCCTGATTTGATCAGTTATTCCATGTTCTCACGGTTCTAAAGACCTCAAATATCACAATTATAAAAGCATTAATTACCAATCCATTGGTTGTTAACAGTAGCATGTTATAGATTATATTCACGCGAAGGGGCGGAGCACTTGAAAATCACAAATTTAAGCTAATTCCACCCAACGGATAATTAATTGTTATATTATTGCATATTAACAATTATTTTATATTATTAATTTGTTATACACATTTCGCGAGATTATTCTGAAGACTTTTCAACAACACATGGCGTCATAACACTTCATGGAGGCCTTGAGAACAAGACTCTCACTGAGCTGGCCAAGTAACTCCCTGTCTTTTGTGTAACCCAAAGGTTCATTGCCAAATTCACGAGAAGTCACCGTTTTATCCTTATCGCAAGCCTTTTGAATCCAGTCTTCTCCCGCACACCCTACTTCATTTGTCTTAATTTTATCCACACATCGACGCCAACATCTCTATTCACTGAATTTTTTTCGGAATTGTTCATTTCTCCCCAACAGTATGCAGAGCCGTCTTGAGGAAACAAAATAATATTATAAAAAAACTGTATAGACTATGTATAATTTAACGTTTCTTTCCAGATTTTAGTTAATTAAGTAGGAATGAAAGGCTCTTTTATGTCAATTTATATAGTAAAATAAACATTACTCTTTCATTCTATCCGGAGGATTCCGTCGTTATCAGTTCTTTTGTATTAGTTCAACTTCTATGTTTTAATTCGTGCTATTTAAGTATACGACGTTCTATTATGAAAAACGCATCCCAATGTATGTTTACATTAGCAATCCCAAAGCATTCTTCTTCCTCGGCGCTACAGCCCGGTGAGGGCTTTGGCCTGCCTCACAATGCTTTCCCATTCTTCCCTACTCCACGGCTAATCCCAACACATTAAACATAACAATAATCTTACAGATTTTTATGATTCTGAAATGGTATATGTTACTCTAATGAGAGTATTTCAAAACAAGAAGCTGATGATAATTTAACCTAACCAAAGCGAACTTAATTAAATAAATGCGGCTGTGCAGGTGTTATTCGTCACCTGGAGGGGGCAGTTCCTGGCTGACCATGGAACAGCTCGAGGGTGTCACACAGTGGAACGTGTAGGAGACAACACATTTGCTAATGATAATTCCTCTTTCATGCATTTCTATGGAACTCTTGGATTTGAACATATAGAGGTAAGTAGCTGAAACTTAACAGCCTGCTAGCAGCTAGATAAAATGTATCTTTTAAATTTTTTACAAATTATAATGCAAAAAAATTAATCAATATTGGCCTCCTAGGTTGCAACGCCGTGTGGATTTGTGTGTAGAGAGCAACTTTTCGGATGAATATACTACCTCCATTTTCAAGGCTGAAGTGTTCATACGAAACAAGTTCACATGGCGTTAATACCCTGAAGACCAATATCAGTAAGTTCACCGCCGTGAGAAACTCAGATCTCACTAATAAGTACCTGTATTTATTCTGACTGTGAAAACTATGAAACTTAATTCATGATGTTAATCTCTTTTGAAGAGTTGGAGAAGAATTTAATTTCGTGGAACTCGACGCTTCATAATCATCATACTAAGCCAATAAGATTTACCATTTAACCTTTTCTTTATACTTCACGCCTTCGCTATTCGTCGATTGAGTGCGGTAAATCTGTATGACAAGACCTACACAGACCACCAAAGAAACAAATCAGTTTTGTGATTCCATACCAAAGGGAGTTATGTCCTCTCAATGTCAGACAGACATGTCAGCAAATTTAGCACAATTTTGTGTTAAAAAAATGTTTTAGTATTTGTACGACTGTACGATAACATATTTTTATTTTTTGAGGGCTTTGGCCTGCCTCACAATGCTTTCCCATTCTTCCCTACTCCACGGCTAATCCCAACACATTAAACATAACAATAATCTTACAGATTTTTATGATTCTGAAATGGTATATGTTACTCTAATGAGAGTATTTCAAAACAAGAAGCTGATGATAATTTAACCTAACCAAAGCGAACTTAATTAAATAAATGCGGCTGTGCAGGTGTTATTCGTCACCTGGAGGGGGCAGTTCCTGGCTGACCATGGAACAGCTCGAGGGTGTCACACAGTGGAACGTGTAGGAGACAACACATTTGCTAATGATAATTCCTCTTTCATGCATTTCTATGGAACTCTTGGATTTGAACATATAGAGGTAAGTAGCTGAAACTTAACAGCCTGCTAGCAGCTAGATAAAATGTATCTTTTAAATTTTTTACAAATTATAATGCAAAAAAATTAATCAATATTGGCCTCCTAGGTTGCAACGCCGTGTGGATTTGTGTGTAGAGAGCAACTTTTCGGATGAATATACTACCTCCATTTTCAAGGCTGAAGTGTTCATACGAAACAAGTTCACATGGCGTTAATACCCTGAAGACCAATATCAGTAAGTTCACCGCCGTGAGAAACTCAGATCTCACTAATAAGTACCTGTATTTATTCTGACTGTGAAAACTATGAAACTTAATTCATGATGTTAATCTCTTTTGAAGAGTTGGAGAAGAATTTAATTTCGTGGAACTCGACGCTTCATAATCATCATACTAAGCCAATAAGATTTACCATTTAACCTTTTCTTTATACTTCACGCCTTCGCTATTCGTCGATTGAGTGCGGTAAATCTGTATGACAAGACCTACACAGACCACCAAAGAAACAAATCAGTTTTGTGATTCCATACCAAAGGGAGTTATGTCCTCTCAATGTCAGACAGACATGTCAGCAAATTTAGCACAATTTTGTGTTAAAAAAATGTTTTAGTATTTGTACGACTGTACGATAACATATTTTTATTTTTTAACTATTTAAAGATGGCGGAACACATATCTTTCACTAATATAATCAAGCGATGTGTGATCAAGTAACCTACACGTCATATAAACGCTGTTTCTTTGAAACAATATATCAAGATTGTAACATGCAACGTGTTTACGATGAACGTATACTGATAATGTTGTATCTGTTTTTAGCCATTTGCACGTTTAGAAGACGAAGAAACAGATCTATGATCTATGATCTGATTTCAGCTGTTCTATGACCACTACAAAGCTCACTTTATGGGTCTGGGTCCTTCTGGCAGCCTCAGTACTAGGTTCTTCCCTCTGGATCTCTACGTACATTTTCACATTGACTTCACCAGCAAGAAAGTCTATTTGGACGACTTCAAAGTTATGAGTGTCGGGTGAGTGTGGTTAGTGGAATAGACTCGGTAAAATAAAGCAATTTCGATAAACGTATATATTGTGGAATGCGACTGAAAAATTGTGATGAATGATGAGTTTTTGTGAATTTTGAAGGAGTCTGTCGTGACTTCTTTCCTGCATTAAATTGAGACTGAAAAACATTACGAAAAGCCGACCGACATTTGAACCGGCTATCTCCCGAATGTGTATTTATCGGAAAGAGATCATTTGTAGGACCTAGACACACGTTGTTCATTACAATAAAGTAGAATCAAGGTAAATAAGGTGCAAATTCAACTGGCTCAGGATAAATTACACCAACAGGTTTGGAAGAGAAGGGAATTTCTCGACCATTTTGTACTTATTACCTTTTCGAGGCCATAGATTTATATACTACTTATATCTCGTATTTTAATAATGTTCTGGATCTAATCACCATTAAATAATGTAATGATGGTTAAAAGTTGAATTATTAAGCTTTAAACGGGAAACAAATAGAATATTCTTTGTTAAATTTTAATGAACAGCACTTAAAGATTCCACATGATTATACCAATACTAAAATATGATTCTGTGGGGATTTTTAAACATTATCCCTTGTCTAAATAATATATTAGTCCACACGACGTTTCGGGGGCTGGTAGTCTTTCTGTATACCTAAAGACAGAGACAGACAGAGAGTTTCCAAAACGTCGTATAGACGCATATATTATTTAGACAAAGAACAAGGTTAAAAATTCTTCAATAAAAATCAGGGTAGATATACTACGCTGTTTAGAGTAATATTATTATTGTAGTTAATCACAGGTCTATCAAATAATGTTTTATGCAAACATTATGGATATTAATTAGGTCTATGTCGTGTAAACAGTTTTTGTACGATGTCCCGTTATTGAAGACGAAAGCTGCCATAAATGTATCAAATAAAATAGTGTCTTTCTCTTAAAAATCTCAGAATGTATTTGGTTAAACAAAGCAATGATAAGAAACATATATTTGTTTATTTTTTCAGAGACCTGGAAGTGAAATTGACGGGTTTCGGATGGCTGGTAAATTTTCTGACGTCCAAAGTGGCCACCTGGATCGTGGGTTTGTATCGTGACAAAATAATCTCCGATCTTCAGTTAAAGTATAACAGTTACATTTCTGACTTGCTTAATAACTATGATTTGGATGATATTTTAGAAGGGAGACTTTTAAGATGAACAGAATATTTGTATTAAGCCACATTCTTAATGCATTGCAATAAAAAGTGCTCTCCATAAACAATAAAGACAAAAAACACAGCAAGTTAATATATGTTTACCATTCGTTCCGAGTATTTGACTTGCGCTTGTGTATTCTTAAATGCATGTTGTTTTCACATCCCTGCAGGAAGTATTAAATAATGTTAAATTTATCCTTGCAACCCTGCAAGTTTCAATTATAAATGTATCCTGGAACTAGAGACCTTATAGATTCTCGACATTAGAAACAGGCGGCCTGTGTGAAGAACACGTACATTCTGATGGTAATTATTTGTTAGCGAAGAGTATAAATATTATTAATAACATTACATGAATTCTTTAACAGGGTAGCAACCTTTTCTAAAAATATAGTTAGAACTAAGTATAAACATTTTGTGAAATCAAGATATACAATGAAATCAAGTTAAATTATAGGTATCAAATAATGTACGTAATCCGAAATTATTCCAGAATTTAAATGCCTGGGACAAGGAAACAACTTCATGAAGTTAGGAAGATAAATGAATTAATGGAACTGGAAGGTTCAGTTTCGTATTCAGAAGATTGATTCCCACAACCACATAAATCCAACCCGCACTGTCCCAATTGATAAAATGCAGAGATTTTATTTTGTAACTGCAGTAGATACGCCCCCGACAGCTGCACTTTCAGCCTCTGGCCTGATGTTAAACTATTAGTTTTTATGTGAAATACAAAGTCATGGAGTTTTGTTGTTAAGTTCCTGTTTGCAGATGGATTTACGATGCATACATAGTACGGTCGGAAAGTTAGGTAGTCTTTAACCACATAATGGTAGGCGAGGAATACGGATAATGTATAATAACCCTCTTGTCTTCGTTTGTAAGCTCGTTCGCCCGTCTTCATATAAGCAATTCTAGGAATGAAGGTGAAGGAAGATGATCATAATGACAGTTATGATGATGATGTTTAATTCACCACAACGAGAGCCTCCCTTTGCGTCAATCATGTTAATAGCCTTTTTCATACGCGTCATGAAACCGTGGAGAAAAGAGAGGGAAAGATCAATTTTGATTACAGATAACTGAAAGAATAGATCCATTGAAATGTGTAACGAGCGCGGAAGTTGAGTGGCAGCCCTCCTGTTTCAGCTGGTTCGAATACGGACAGGAGGACGGCTATAATTCAGGGATTGCGAGGATTTCTTTAGACCCTCCAGGCGAATATTGGGATAGAGCCTTAAAAGACCATGACAGCTCCTTTCTATATTCTTCCCGATTAACCATTCACAACAATCCTGTCATTTGGTGAGATTTAAGTTTGTCACTCCGACGAGCATGAATATTGCTGTCGCCTGGGATGTTGAGCTTTGTAGCCTGGTCGATATTAGCCGATGTTTCAGACGAGCTTACTGCGTCTATCATCAGGGCTATGAGTGTCTCATCGCCTTGATAATGGAGGCAGGAAGGTCTTCTGAAACATCGGTCATTACCTACGAGACTACACAGCGCAGCATCCGAAGAGACAGTCATCTTCATCCTACCATTTTACCGCCCAAAAATAACGAATCAGTCGTATGTTTTCCGGTGATAATTAGGAAGTTATGCTGTGTACTGCTCCCGTGATGCACTTACAGCTTAGAAACCCTGGAAATGATTCCTAGGATTGAGTAACCCTGGGAAATCCTGGAAAACGCTGAGAGGGAGAGGGAGAGAGAGAGAGAGGGTGGCCCTGTAAATTAAACCCGTACGTAACTCAATACCCAGCAACTCGTGATCTTTGTACTTAAGATAGGATGAGAATGAAGAAGCGAGAAAGACAAAGGAAACAGGCCTAAGTTCAAGGCATCTCCTTATTGGGGTGTAAATTACAGAATTTTCAGTATTTAAAACCTCCTGTATCCCAATTCGTCGGTTGGTGCATGTATTATTTGGAATTTGAGTTTGGTGACTGAGTCGGACAAGTTTTGTACAACTTCGGCTTTCGGGGCGTCGAATTTTGTAAGTTATCCAGCGTTTCGGCAAACAGCGCAGTTGAGATCATTGGGGTACCAACGTTATTTCTGGCGTGGATGAAATAATAGTAATTCAAGAGAACAGCCATGGCGGTATAACGATTGGAATCATCAGCTATTTAGCCATAGTGGGATCATGTAAAGAATGTGCCACTACCTGGGTCATTTATTTGCATCCCTGTCTCTCTTTTCTTTGTCTGTGAACTCTGTATTATATTCCATACATATTATTTGGGCGGTCGAGATTAGTTATTTCCCGTTCGCAACAGTCTCTACATACAATTCATCACAAAACAAAGATTGAAATAAATCACAGTGATTTTTGGTCATGTTAATAAAATGTTTGATAATGTAGCGAGATTCGCCTACTTGCTAACATCTATAAAAATTATTTCATAAAATGACTATTTCTTTCTTTCTTTCTTTTCTTCTCTTTTACCCGTAGGTGTCGAGGTTTTTATTTATTTGATTGATCTATTTGGACAATGGTAGGACTCCTTGGATGAGTGATCAGCCCGACGCAAGGCCTCTACCTATACAAACACAGAAAGACGCGGACAAACATCCATGCCTCGAGTGGGACTCGAACCCACGGTCCCAGTGACCAGGCGGCACAAGGTCCACACCTCAGACCACGTGGCCACTGTGATGGTGCCCTTACATTCCCTTTACAAATTCAAAACTAATGCCATCTCTTGACTGTCCATTAGAATCATTTGTCACAAAGTGCCATTGACAGAGGCAGAATAGGTCTTTCCACAATCTTTTAATAATGTCAGAATAACTCACTTAATGAATATGGAGCAGTGGTGGAATAATACTGACAGGGAAGACTCAAATCACTTGGATAAAAAGCATGTAAAATGACTAATCAAGGCCATGATTTGGTCTGAGTAGTCGGTCATCATTCCCTTTTCGTAAAATCTCCAGTTACACTGACAACCGAAAATAAAACACAGTTATCATTCCACTGATTTACAGATACAGAAACATTACATTTGTAACGATTACACAAGAATTAAACTGAGACGTTTAACTTTTTGTACAGGTCGCAATCCCTTGAAGAAGAAAGTTTTTGTATTCATCTCACTTTGCTCTTGTTCATTTCTTAGTTTCCATTAAACATTTCAAAGGGTTAATTTTATAACGTTATTTCCGTTCCTTCATTGGCAGTCTTGCCTGAAGTTGTGAAGATAATGAGTGAGAAAGGTGTAATTCTATGAATTACGGCATTGCAGTAAAACAAAAGCAATCAGGAGAGGAAGGAGGACTGAAAGGTAGATACAGAAAAAAGTCCCCCACAGGAAACTGCGCAACAACCACCAATTTGCCGTTTCTAGGAAATCTTAACAACCCATTATAGTCTCCTATTAGTACTTTCTGTACAGCCTGGTTTAGAAAGTATTTTTCAACGAGGAAATAAATACAATGAGCAATACTTAGGAGCTTATAGAATTAAATAACACAGTTATAGGACAAAAATGGAAATATCATAATTAAAATGAGCAATAAATTGCTAAATACTAACACAACGGGTTTGAAACGTTATAGTTTAAGGAAACTGTCGTGTAGAGCAGTGGTCTCCAAAGTGGGGTGAGCGCACCCCTGGGGGTGCAAGAGATAATTTCAATTTAATTTTGTTTTGTATTCTTTTATTGAATTGTATTTGTGATTTTACGAAATTATATGAGATTTTATGATGTGATGCTAGATATAAATGCATAGCATGTAAATTATTTATAAATAAATAACAAATATAATAAAAATGACACTTAAATATTTATTTATTTATTCCGGGGGTGCGTGCTACGTTTTTTAGTAAGTAGGGGTGCACGACCAAAAACGTTTGGAGACCACTGGTGTACAGGGCAGAAACTAAAGTGTTTCGTTATAACAGGAGAACAAAAAAATAATAGGTGAAAGAAGAAGGAAGTGGAGGAAACAAATAATTTACAAAAAACAAACTGAAATTGTAGAAATCGCGAATAATATAAGAAGCTTGTAAAGAAATAGGAGAAATAAATCTAAAGGATCTGGCTGAAATTAATGATGGAGATAAAATAAGAAAAAGGGTAACAAAATGTAAATATGGAAACAACCCAAGAAGAAGGAGACGATGATAATAATTATAAATAATGGGCAAAAACTCTTGACGCCAAAGAAACCTTTCCGAACAACCTGCTACAGAAATGCGTATATGAAAGGTCGTATTGTAGGGTAAATTGGATGATTAAGGAACAAAAGTATCTTGATACGAATGGCCTAATCCACTTATAAATATAGTGTTATTGCATTCTATTTGAAATTACGCTTCATATACTTCGGCAAGAAAAGCAATACATGCGATCTATTTTTCACAAAGTTACATTGATTCACCGCTCCGAAGTCTGTGTATTTGTATCAATTTCACACCAAGACAGATAGAAACTATATTAACAGATGGGTAAGTTTTGTAAAATATTGCACTCAGCGGAAATATATGTGCCCCTAGACGTAGACCTTCACCGGTTAATTTCGGAGTTCCCCTCGCCTAGGCTGTGAGGATCCCTCATCTTGAAGACAGGTTATCTCCATATCTGGTTACCCTCACCTAATTTAGCCCGAGGGACGATCCAGTTACCGGCACAGTACCAGCAGAAGAAGTATGTGAGATTTTGAACCACTCCTCCGCCCGTCGAAATTAAAGAGGTGTGACCGGCCAAGAGAGAGATACGCATTAGCCCATTATTTTCACTCTACTTCCCAAATACCACATTTTTCCCACTATTATCCTCCAATCCGTGCATAAGTATCCGAAGTGATTCTTTTTTCCTTCAGAATATTTTTTTAAAAGGCTGTATGCATTTCTCATCTCTGCTATGCGTGTTGCGTGGTCTGGAATTATATTTCTACTTGATTTCACGACCTGTAAAACATTTTTAGAGGAGTTCAAATTGTGAAGTTCCTCATCATATATTTTTCTTTTGTCTATTGCTACTACTTGGTCAAAACATTCTCCTCAACACCCTATTCTCACTGTATGTGTTTATCTTACGTTTAAAATAACAAGCAAAATTTTAAGCCTAAACAAGATTTTAGATAAGAGCTGAGAAGACAAAAGTTTCTGAACAGAACAGTAGATGATCATTTTTCGAATCTTACTACCTATTAACTACTTAAATTCTCCATCAACGTAATATTTATTTGTTTCCGTCTTTCATAAATATCTTGACATTAACGTATTTTCGAAGGACCTTCATAAAGTTACATCCAATTCAATTCGAATTCTTCCTAATTTTCGTCTGTCATCGGCCTGAAGATGGAGACAGTAGCCACCTCTGAAACGTCGGTAAACTTCTACCAGATTTTCTGGCTCTACAACCGAAAAGATAGACATCTTCAAGGCACAGGTATACCAGCGGTTCTCAACCCTTTTAAAACCCTGAACCACATTCACCCTTGCTCGACAACTCTCAGGCCGTAAGTTTGCAAATGAGAACAGTTTCTTGAAACTTCATTAAAATGTATGGTAAGTGCTTAGGTCCGCAAATATTTATACCGGCGTAGCTCAGTCGGTATAGTGACTGGCTACGAACTGGACGACCGGGGTTTGATCCCCGACGGGGGCAGAGGATTTCTTAAAATGTATTTGTGCAAACGCAATGATAGGATTGATTGCTTCTCTACAAATTCAGTACGACCTAATCTCATATAAATCCCGTTTTCCAATTGTAAATATGACCATTTGTTGCCTTTCTTGTCTTTCATTGTGTCCCTGAACAAAATTATTGCACTATAAGCAAGAGATAATTATAATATAATCAACTCCCCAAGCATTAATTATTTCGCGCATCCTAGATACATGCCCAGTCCAACGTGGTCTCATACCTTTGCTGTCCTAACCACACTAATTCATAGTCTGTGAAGTAATCAATTATTCTGTTCCTCCTGTGTGATAACTTGCCCATTCATTTCATAAGTTTCATGTCCAAATATATTCCTTACTTACCATTTTTGCTGAAAGAAGGCCTGGAGTAGAAATTGTAGTGAAGATTTATGGACCGACATGGAATATCCCCTTCAGCCTTCATATGTAACTTCCTTTAGCTTATCTTCACTGAAATAAGTTGTGCTGTTAGTGAGGTGATCGTCGTAGTAAAACATACATCTAGCTCCAGACAAAAGGGAAGTTTTACTAACCTGTACATACGAGATTTCAGATTAAACGGAGCGGTGAAATTGCACAAAGAAAAAACGCTTGTCATGTGCGGAAATATAACAGTATAAAGAATGGAAATGTGAGTAAAGGATAGAGATACAAATAAGAAACAAAGTAAGCATCTGTAAACAACTGTCTCTTACTTACATATCTTTCATCTTTATTTACCTGCGTCATTGCCGATTTAGACCGACTATTGCCGAATGTGTACGAACCTTCTGGCCTTTCCCGCGAAGTGGGATGTGTGGTTTCGAAACTGTTATTTAGGTTCGATAAGATAGCTCAGTTGTTCGCGGAACGTGAAGTTAGTAGGTATGCATGTGGTGCTATTCTACGTATGGTTGTTAGTGACGTGTTGAGAATATTTTGTGTAACGTGAAAGAGTGACAGGTTGCAAGTTACCATTGTGATTTTCTGTTATAGCATATTATTTGCTTCACAGTCCTTGATAATTCAGTAATTTGACACTAGATGTTGCTGGCTTTGAACGTTATTACGAGACAGTAGTAAAATCGATTTTTATTCCTCGAAAGCGCCAGTCTCGAATTATGGGTGTAGTGTTCAGCGTAATTACATCCAGTTTCGAAATAATCATTCGTCATACTGTGGAATTTGTGAATGTGAAGTAAATTACTTGAAAATAATTGGATAGAATATAAGTTTTAAAAAGATACTTTTCTGATATAAAACAGTAACTAGAGTGAACATGATATCATATTCGACTGTAACCTCAAAGGCTCAATCGTCCAGAATGTTATCAGCATGGCTACGTTGTGTTGTGTTTGCATTAACAGTGACGATCATGTTCAGTGTTTCTGTTGTAAATGGAGATGAAGATTTCTGCGTCATGGACACATTTCGAAGTAATTCCACGTGGTTGCAGTTCACAAAAGAACTCAGCAATCAAGAATATGTTGTAGCACAGAAGTTCAAGAGCCTCCACTGTTGTGCCAAGGGGTACCGGAGTATCGAGTGGTAGGTGGTACAATATATACCATTATTGGAAACATCTTTCCGTCCGTTTTTACTGTGTAGGGATGTGTGATCAATCAAGTCGAGACCTGATTCGGATTCTACACGTTTCGCGTTGTTGGTAGTTATTCTGCTCCATCCCGAAACGTAAAATAGCGAGACGTCTTTGTATTGGAACATTACATTTTGATATTTGACCTTATAATACAGTTCTTTCAAAACTTTGTAAAATAACTAAGGATTTATAAGAAGAAGCTTAAAAATAAGCAACTTCTTAAAAGTAGTACACTGAATTATTTTAGTGCTAGGTAAGCATTTTCTTTTTGTGCCCTTCTTTTCCAGTGGAAATAAAACATACGATATTCTCTTTCGCCGTTTGTTGGTACTGAGTCTACAGAGAAAACATTTCAGAAAACCTTGCCCATTGCTCGCTGTGTGTGTAGTTGGGTAGGCTGTACCGTAGCTCAGGCGGTTAGTTACCGGGTTCACCAGGGTTGGTCCATATAGGATTTGTAGTAGACAGAGTAACACCAGAACAGGTTTTTCTCCGAATCCTTCGGTTTTAGCTTGTCATTATCATTCTACCATATTCACTCGTAAGCTTTCTGGGGGCGGATGTGGACAAGTGGTCAGTTAGAAGCCTAATGTCAAAGAAACGTAGTTTTACCTCTTCGCAACGATAACAATGAAAGTAACTCTGTAGTATCAGTATCTATGAAGGATGCTACGTTTTTCGTGAAAAGATCATTTAATGCAATTAAATATGCACAGTACATATTTAGAACAGGAATTTGTTCCATGAGGAAGTTCCTTTGTAAAAAGGCAGTGCTCATTGTGATCCGCACGTGGGTTTTGCATGTACGTGTGTTATTTTTAATATATAAATAAACCGGTTTGATTTTGTGAGCCATAAAGCAGACATGACAAGGTGGCCATGTTGTCGAAACAATACTTTAGGACGATGTGTCTAGTTTCTACATATCCGTAAAGCCTAGCTTCTTAACATGGCCATATTCCTTTCAACTTGATAGATTCCTTTACAGTAAAAGTGCATGTGGATACTTTTATATTGAAATTATACTGATTGCCACTTTTTGCAGTTTAGCAATCTTACGAGATTTGGCATTATGAATTAAATGGGATCAGCTTTAAGAAGGAAGGTTGCCTTTCTTATCCGCATGCATGATTCACACAGCCTGTACAATACCCCAGAATAGACCCTATTAAAATGGTTTGCATTTTATTCCTTCTTTTTATGTAGTGCTCAACGTAACATTTTTAGATCGTGTCCGACTGTATGCATGTTTAATTGTTTATGTGTTTCAATAACGACGCTGTCAGCAGATAAGTGTGTGTAGCATCGAATGAAGATGAATGAGTGATATGAGTTGGGAATTATGTAGAAGGAATGATCATAGCCTAATTTGCCTGCAGGGACGGAGGACAATCACGAAATATTTTCTACAGTCATTACTGATTATTCACACACAGACCAGCAACAGCATTTTGTGTGTGTTTGGGCGAGAGTTCGAAATGTTGACATTTTCATTTCGAAAGCCGGATCACCGCAACCCATTCGTGTGGTTCAGCATGATAGTTTTTATCCGAAGAACCTCAACCGTATGACGTAATACCTGTCATAATTTCCTGGAAGTCGTTAAATATTTAGACATGTTTTTAGATGTCATAGAAAAATGACACAGTTTTCCAAGAAATCCACTAATATATTGTGATGTGTTGGGGTTGGCATTGTTGAACTGTTTAATGACATTGTTGTATTCGTGCATTGTTGCGTTTAGCATTGTTGTGTTTACATTGTTGCGTCTGTTTATTGGCATTGTTGCATAGACATTGTTGTAATTGTATAAAAGCCGATTGACAATCAAGGGTTGACAATCAAGGTTGTATACCGTCCCACGCTACAATATTTCTGTAATGGCGGATTTCAGAGCGAATACCAATAATAAAAATAATAATAATTTATTAATTTATGTACTTGGTAACAGCAAAACAAGGCCATATACAGTCAAGGACTAAAAACAACGAAATGGGATTTTTTTATAAAGTAAATAGTGCAGCATAATACCTACAGCTGACGTAAGAGATCGAAAGGTCACACAATATACAGGATCGAAATGTAGAGAATATCCGTAAGCGAAATGTCATCTTTATTAAAATGTCAGTGCCCTTGCGAATAGCATTGGCAGCTGAGTCGAGTAGCTGGAGTACTGACCTTGACATTGTAATTTGCCATCATTGCAGAGTATTCTCCAGTTATCCTAGTAGATACTAATAATAACGATTATAACGTAAGAATTGAGGTTTTCACAGCGGTGAGTATGAAGATTTCTGTCTTCTGGGTTGTTGCGCTGTGTAGTCTGGTAGAAGTTTACCAACGTTTCAGAGGTCATACTGCCTCCGTCATCACCTCCGAAACGTTGGCACACATCGATCAGACTACACAGCGCAACAACCCAGAAGACAGGAATCTTCATACTAAGAATCGCCCTGATGACGGAGGCAGTATGACCTCTGAAACGATGGTAAACATCGATCAGACTACACAGCGCAACAATCCAGAAGACAGGAATCTTCATACTAAGAATCGCCCTGATGACGGAGGCAGTATGACCTCTGAAACGATGGTAAACATCGATCAGACTACACAGCGCAACAACCCAGAAGACAGAAATCTTCAATGAAAATAACCTTTATGCTTCGCTTATTATGATCTGTAACAACCACGGTGTTATATGCCATTTTGAATCCGATATTTTCAATTATAATTTTGCGTATTAGTGCCGAAAATGTGATCAAATCAAGCGGATGATGATGTATGGATCATGCAGAATTGAAATTCGTCACTTCTTTTAAAAGTTGTTAAAGGGGTCGAACGCACAATGGACTAGATTCTACAAAGTCATTGTAAGTTCCATTTTTAGTATAGGCTAAGTTATTAATATCCGCAAGTCATTTTTAATCAGGTATGTGGGCAGCAGGCATATTGCACATAGTGTATGTAACCTATCCATAGGCACAGTCTGTGGCATCGCAACGTGAAACATTGATTCTAACTAGTTGTCATATTTGTTGTAAAATACAAGAGAAATCGAAAAGGCAAGCCATTGCTTAAAAATAATTTCTTGGAAGAACTCCCAAAGTCTCATTTACTTTCGCCATGAACATTGTGAGTGTACGTCCACAGAGGTTACTTTCCATTACAAAATTATGCATATTGTGTCGGCTCTGAGACATCTGACGGTTCACTTTACTTAGCTATTCTGGCGGCTGTAAACGTCGCTGGGAAAACAGATGAACAGCAGAACCAATACTAGTCTGTCATAATTCTGTAGCATTTGCTAGTGGTGTGACAGGGCCACAGGTTTTTCGAAAAGTATAAATAGTATCATATACCAGTGGGGTAGTGAATCACTTTGCTTTAAATTTTGAAAAAAGTTTAATATATTCGCAGAGTTGCTTTCCAACACACAGGTACGAGGTGCGATCGGAAAGTTTCAATACTGTGTCAATAGCGGGCGAACCGGATGTAGTACGAGCTTCTGCCTTTAGGGGGGGCGGCCTACATTCATAGTGAATCAGTGTGCCAGCCGGCATCATCGAATTAGCATTTGTTTCTTAGTTACGGGCGTTTTGGTAGTGCATTACACAGACCCTCCTGCGATTTCGGAATGGCGTGTGCATCAAATTTTGCCAAAGACTCGCCAAAACGGCTGCGGAAACCTATGAAATGCTAAAGCAAGCATTTGGGGAGTCCGCAATGGGTCGTGCACAAACTTTTGTGTGGCATTCACGTTTTAAAAATGGCCGAACCTCTGTCGATGATGACGAGAGTTCTGGACGACCATCTTCGAGCACAACGCCCGAAAATGTTACGAAGATTCGGCAGGCCATTCACGAAGATCGACGTCGTACCATCAACGACTTGTGCGACATTGTTGGGATAGGCTATGGGACCTGTCAGCTGATTCTAAAGGAAGAACTCCACATGCGACGCATCATGACAACGCGCCAGCGCACACCGCCCTCAAAGTTCGGCAGTTTTTGGCCTCAAACACCATGGCCGTCATCCCGCACCCTCCTTATCCGCCGGATTTAGCTCCGTGTGACTTCTTCCTCTTCCCAAAGATGAAAATTCAGCTAAAGGGAAGGAGATTTGAGACGATAGAAGAGATTCAGGCAGAATCGCAGATGGTGCTTGACAGGCTGACAAAGAAAGATTTCCAGGGATGCTTCCAGGCTTGGCAGCGGCGCTGGGATCGTTGTGTTCACTCCCAGGGGAACTACTTCGAGGGTGATGGATGAATTTAATACCTGAGATAAGTGTACGGGTTTTTATAGGCGCAGTCTAGAAACTTTCCGATCGCACCTCGTATGTTACGATTACTACTACGTAACATTTCAGACGTCTGTTATGTTTTATCAGTCAATTATATTATTTTCCGGTTTAGTAGTAATAAGCACCTTCTGCGCGTCCAATCAAATAAACCTGATCCTTATCACAAAACCAATGACAAGAAATAGCTTTAGCTCCTACTATTCGTCATACTTCTGTTATTCTTAGGAATATTTTGTGGTGTGATTTTATATTCGCGAGCCACGTTATTGTATCTTGCTTACTCCGTCATAAAACTAATTTATAAAGTCCCAGGAAGCAGAGTCTTTTGAGAAGCTGCTAGTCGCAGAGCTTGACAAGAAATTCTGAAATCAGTGCCAGTTATCTTGTTAGGCCTTTTCCTCTCTCAGTGGTTTTTCTGCGTATTTTCTTCGTCTAGCAGAAGATGTGAATTCATACGAGTTCGTGTTAATTTACGAACCTTAATTAAATCTGTCATGTTATGTGCCACATCTACTACAAAGATTGTTGTTGAGGCTGTAGCAATTAGTTTTAAATGAGAAGGCGCGCGTGTATACATGTGCGTGTCTTTGCAAAGTGTCAGATCCATAAGCTTGTCAAGTATTTTCCATATACACTGACCAATGTA